GCTTCCCACCCTGCTGGTGGGCTGGAAACTAGTGACACCACTGTGGAAATCAGTCAGAAGGGTTCTCAAAACCCTGAAGTAAAATGACTGAGTGACCCGCCATTCTTACATATTGAGTACACACTCACAGGAATCGACGCAGGTATGGGAGACATACCCACCATCCCTCGCACAACGTGGCACTGCTCACAACAGCCACGAATGGAAATAACCTAAGTGTCCATCGGTGGGTGAATAACAGAAAGAAAATGCGGTCTGTGAATACCAGCCATGTTTGCCAGCCCACAGATGGCACACACCTGTATTTTAAAACTATTTTGAGCCAGATGTGGGACATGCTATCACATCAGCACTGATTTAACAAGACCCTGTATCAAAACAAAAACAAAAACAAAAAAAAAAAAAAAAAAACAAAGAAAGAAAGGGCGAGGTATGTAGCTCAGTGTAGAAATCTGTGTTCCATCCTCAGCACCCCCACGCACACACACAAATTAAGTAAGTTTTGTTACTTAAATACGTATTCACTGCAGCCCTAGCAAACTCTTCATTCAACACAGCCCAGGCATGCCAGCACATCTGCCAGTCATGCCTAGTATATACAATGGAATACTAGCCAGCCTCAAAAAGAAAGGAAATCCCACCATCAGCAACACAGATACAGCTGGAGGATGTAACAGTGAGTAAAATAAACCAGGCACAGACAAACAAAGACTGTGTCTTAGCCACTTTTCTCAACACCTAAAGTTAAAGGATAGGTTAATGTCAGCTTACAGTTTGTAGAAGTCGATAGTCAACGGCTCCAAGGCAGGCTGGCAAGGCAGAGGGGCATCACAGAGGAGAAAACAGGTCACTGCAGTACAGGATAGGCAAAAACATCAGCAGAGCAACAAAGAGTGAAGTACAGAAGTAGCAGAGCAGCGGCAGCAGTCTGCCTCTCCCTTTTAACCCTTCCAGGCTACCCACTTTGGGTGGCCACCCACATGCAGGTTGGGCCTTCCCAATATCCACCCAGAGTTATACTAACCCAATAAGTGGACTGATTTAGTAATCACATCCTTATCCACAGCATCACACCCTAAATACCAGCACCATACACTCTAGATTCAGCCATCTCTGAAAAACCCTGCCTATGGCTACATTAGGCTTCTGGGGTGTGGAGGGGGACATCCAAACAAAAACCGTAACAAACAGTATGCTCTCACGTGTAGAGAAATCCAAAAAAAGCCCAACTCAACAAGGAGGGTGTTGGGGGTTGGAGAAGAAAGAAGGTAATGATAGTCACAGGGCACAGAAGACAGTTTCAGTTAGATGCGAGAAGGCTAAGGGAACCGTCATACAATATGGTGAATGCAGATTCTAATGAGGTATTCTACCACAGACAAGTAGGAAAAGTGATAGAAATGTTAATTGATTTAATCATTCCACAATGTATTCAGGTATCATAGCACCACACTGTACCTCATAAATATATACAATTATTACATAAAAAATAGGTACTTTTCTAAAAGAATAAGCAGCTAGATTGTGAAGCAAAATTTATATGAATACTATAGCTGATCTGAGATGAAAAAGCTAACCAAAACTGTCCAAGAGTGAGAGCTGGAAAAAACAGATTCCTGCCCTGAACCACCTGGAACACTGGCTGCCTTCCACCTTCCCAGATAATTATAGTAATGGGGTGTGCTGAGCAGATGGGAAGATGGGTGAAACAAGGTTCCTTCCCCACCAGGTCACCACACCTGTGCCAGAAGAAAAGGCCAACTGGGGTCTAGTCCACTAGGCAGGTTCCTTTATTTCTTCTTAGCCCCCAGAATGAGAATCCTTTGAAACACTGCTCCCTGCGATGGTGGCAGCACTGAGTGGAGTCCATACTGGGTTCTTCAGCAGAAAACTTGGTAGTGCGAATCTCGCTGCCCAGGCTCCCAGTGCAGTCACCCAGCCCCACTGGTCCCAGCCGGATGAGGCTGGTGCTATGGAAACCTCCTGGGGCCAGCAGGAGCCAAGCACCACATTCTTTTCAGAACTACAACCTGCCCTCCACAGCCACCTGAAGACTCAGAAAGCTTAAACATCTGAGCTAAAGTTCATCTTTTCTCTGTTTCCAGATTTATAACTGAAAAGCTGTGTATACCAAACTATTATCAAATCTGCACAAATAACAATAGTAAGAACAGTAGACATTTTTCTTCACAGCTAAATCAACATTCATTGCTATTACACAGTAATTTACTAATCTCTTTGAAACTATAATGTTATGAATCTGGGCTTAAATGAATAACATATGTACAGTACCATTTAAAACTGGAATCTTAGCTCCTTAATTTCTGATCTTGAAATAAAAAACTGGTACACTTACTACAGTTGTGACACCTTTAATCAAACACAGCTTCTTTATGTGAGAAGGCAGCCTCTGCTTTTGCTAAACTATAATCTTTAGATGCTTAATTACATAGGTTGTACTGGCTGACAAAAACCTTGGCAGCTGATGTGATAATCTGAATGGAGGGAAAAACGCACACACACTCCAGAGAAACAACTAACAGAGAAACCTAACAGGGCAAAAAGTCCGCAAACAGGTATCTGATTTCTCTAGCTATGAAGAAATATCCTGGGGCGGGCCCAGCTGGCCTCCCTAAGTCACTCCTAAGATGCAGCCCTAAATACATTTTCTCACAATCACTTAGGTTGTTTTTGAGACACAAATAGAAAAAAACTACTACCATTGCAATGTCCAGTTTTTCTGTCCTAGTCAAAAAATAAATAAAAACAAAATCAATTTAAAAAAAGACACATGCTGAGTAGCAAAATAAAAGCCATACAACAAAGAGGTCATCTGTGTTGCAAGTGCTGCTCTCCACCACAGAACTGCCCAGTTTTTTACATTTAACATAAAAATGTTTTCCTACTTAAAAACAACAATGCTTCTCCAAGTTTAACAGTACATACAAACGGCACAATATTCCTTTAAAATTAACTCACAAAATTCCCTTTATAACCAGAACAACTCATTTGGGGATAATATCTGATTTTCTCCAGCTAATTAAGGTGTGTTCGCAGTGAAATAACTAATAATATAGTAACCATGAAGCTCAGTTCCTCCTTTCTTTTAAGAAATCATTACAAGAGTTAAAGCCAGCAGCAAACTAGAAAACATATGTTGTGTATCTGTTACACACAATTCAGTCTGCAATAAGGCCTGGAAAAAACACTCTGACACCAATATCTATAGAACAAAAGCTAATCTGGAATTTGAACTGTTTTAAGTTTGGAGTAATTTCAAATTCTTTTCAGTCTTTCTCTTTTCACAATGTTATGGAAATAAAACACTGATTTTTTTTTCTTCAAAAGAAAAACTTGCTGAGGATGTAGTTCTGCAGCACAGCACCTGCCTGGCAAGCACAAACCACTGAGTTCAATTTCTGGTACTCCCCCACCCCCCTCCAAAAAAGGAAAATTTGCTATGAACCAAAACTTCAAACTTATTTCATCCGTAATGCATACTTATTGAAAGCTTGTTCTCTGGGAGCTTGGAACATGTCAATAAGCAACTCTCTTCTGGAGCACCATTTCCATAAACTGCAATTATAAAGAACAGTTGTTAGGCTGGGGCATGGTGTCGCATGCCTGTAATCCCAGTACTCCAGAGACTGAAGCAGGAGGATCACAAGTTCAAGGCCTGCCTGAACTACACAGCAAGACAATGCCTCAAAAAAAAAAAAAAAAAAAAAAAAAAAAAAAATCAAAAGTAACTTTTTGCAAAACTAAAGTGAGGTTTTAACATTCAACTTTCTTTACCTCTTACACTTACATGGAAGTTGTCAGATAATCTCAAGATGCAAAATAAATTTGAAAAATGGTGACAAAACTCTGTAGCTTGAGAATAGAATCTCGCGACAAAGTCAAGTGAAAGTAAAAGTCGCTACTAGAAAACACATTACCACAGCCCATTAAAAAAGCTGAATTGTGAAATACCAAAGCTGATACAGGGAAGATTTGATGAAACGCTGTCTAACCCCTTCTAAAGAGCCATAATGTTTCTGCAGTCTTCCTTAAGCATTCCTCACTTACCTGTAATACTTCCTCACCCACATCGAACACAAAATATCTTCGTATTTGCAATCAAGGACAGTACTACTTTAATCTCTACAAATTCCTGTATGTCTAATCTCAAATAAATTTGCCGCATAATCTTTTCTCATAGATTTGATGGCTTTCACATTTTCTCTCCGAAGAACCTACAGCAAGAGACCGTCCTAAAAAAAGGGAACCTCCCTGGGTTCAAACGCTTTCACTCAAGTACTGCATTCTGGGAGCCTGGTACAACCCATCTCAGTCCTCGCATGCGGAATTAAGGCCAAGTACGTAAGCAGCATGTACATAAGGCAAGATCTAAATAGAGAATCGACTGCGAAAACAGCGGACCGCTGTTCCCAACGAAGCAAAGCCACATTTCTAGATCTAATGCCCTACTCTGGAAATAAGGAAAATGACAAATGCTAAAAAGAAATTCTCAGAGGTGCTATTTGAAGGCCAAAAACACCATATTAGGACAAAACGTCGTGCAACATGTAAAAGACGCCTCACTAATGCTATCCGCACCCCCAAAGCGGCACAGGCTCCTAGGAATTCTCTGACCTAAACCTAAAGAGCCACAGACCCAGAAAAACTGACGAATTTCTGTTCTAAAGGAGCAGCCGCAGCAGAAGACGGAGCGAGGCCAGCAGGGCTCCTGGTCCACTTCACCTCGGCCCGGCCCTGCCGCTCACCCGCTTTAAGCTAAGGACCGAGCGGAACACGGCCGCGGATTGCGGAGGGTGGTTGGGAACCCGGCACCCGCACCGCCCCGGGCCACCAGTCCTGGCGTGGGTTCCGCCCGCCGCACCTGCTGGGACCCGGTAATCTGCGAGCCCGATGGCCACGTCGGGCCAGGGCGGGCCCGGCGAACCCGGCGCGGACCCCCGCGCCGCCCGACTCCACACCCGCCGCGGCCACTCGCTCACCTCCAGGCGCAGGGAGGCCCCGCAGGCGCGCAGGAACTCGCGGATGTTGCTCAGGCACTCGCTCTCGCTTCGCGGCTCCGGGTAGACCTGCAACACAGAGCGCGGGCGCTGAGCGCGGCCGCGGCCAGGCCGCACCGGCCCGGAGCAAGCCCGCCGCCCGCCCGCCGTTTCTCCTCACCCTTTTCCTTCCTCCGGGATGCACCAATCTCGGCCCCTTCCCGCACCCGGAAGTGGGCCTGGCACCGGAAGTGACGTCTCGGACCGCACCACTACCCCCCGCCGCGCTCTTCCGGTTGATGGTGGTTCTGGCTCTTTGGAGCTGCCCGCTGGCGTCGCTGGCCGCCCAGCTGCCGCCACCCACCCGGCTCTCCAAGCCTACACCTCCTCCTTGCCCAAGCGGACGCATCCCGGCCCGAGAGCCCGGAGTACCCAGGCTCGGCGGTTTGAGGTTCTCACAAGGGGCGGAGAGGACTTCCGTTCTTTCTCATGGACCGTGCAGTTTTTACTCTAAACTGTAATTTAGGGAACTGGCAACGTGAACTATGCGCGCCGGGATTAAAGTGCAATCGTTTTTTTCCGGATACAGGCCAGGTGCTTGATGAATCGTTAACCAGAATAGTCAGTTGCAGCCGACAGCCAGCTGAGGACCGCGCAAGCCTGCGCCCCGGCGGAGCTGTCTGGAGACTGGCTACCCCGGCCACACTGAGGAAACCGAGCACAGAGCCAGTGCCAGCAACAATCTAAGGAGAAGCCCTGAGACATCCACTAACACCTCCTGTTTTGAAACAGAAGGATTATTTACCTGGGAAAGAAGAAAAATTCTGTTCTGAACTGTGTAAGAATTAAGCATTGGCATTTACACTAAATGATCATTGAGAATTCTAGCACTGAACACTCAAGGCGATTTTTGCCCTGCCCCTGTAAGGAACAGTGAAAGCAGTCCATCCGACCACTTGGGAATGCTGGTTTGGGTCTTTAAAATTGCAAATCAAAACCAGGGTATTCAGAGATGTCAAGCGAGAAAATGAAGCTTTTTCTCCTCCTAGAGATGAAGAATTCTTCAGAGAAAGTGCTGATGTGGTTCCCTCCAACTTGAATAGATTCTCTTTTTAATGAAACTTTAAAAATAGAAGACCAAAACCAAAGCTGCCTCCTAGACCATTTTGTTTCTTCCTAAAATTTTAAAAATTATGCAACAAATATTAGTATCTAAATTTTTCAGCTTTAAATGGTCACAAAGGGTGTCATTTCTGGCATTCTATTAATACATTTTAAAAATTTAAAATGCTATCAACGTAACCCAAATACATTAGAGATTTAATACCTGTTATCTAAGAATAATATGAACTGTTTAAAAATCAGATATAAATTCTTTTCTAACTCAATCTCATTCTACTTGCCTCGAAAAGTTAGTATCCTAATGAAATCTATTTTTATGCTTAAAGGTCTTATGGTCACATTATAATTTTTACAAGAGACCCGTAAAAATAACAGTCATCACTGATTGATTCTATATTTATAAACTCCCTTGCTTGGCTAAAAATTATGTAACCCAAGAGTAATGCTTTGGGCACATTCTCAGTCACATGCTGACAGGTGTGGAGCAGCACACCTGAATCACCACACACTCCCAGCTAGGTATGAACAAGGCCATCTCTGCTTTTTTGTTTCATTTCACAAACTAACAGATGTCCTCCCAGTCTTTTTAATGCCATGGTGGGTTTCTATTTGTCACTTTTTTGCTTTCAATCAATGATCTTGCTGTTTTAAACGGCCTCCAAATGTAGTGCTAACATGCTACCTAGCATTCCTAAGTGCAAAAAAATAGTGATGTGTTTTACAGAAAAAACTCATGGTTAGACAACTTCATTCAGGGTTGAGTTACAGTGCTGTTGGCTGAGAGTTCAATGTTAATGAGTCCACAATACAATATATGCAGAAAAAAGAAGAGATCCACCAGTCCACGTGCCAGGCTGCTCCATGCTAACATCTGAGTGTGTGATGAAGCCATGGAGAAGATGGAAAAGCAGCTCAATGTGTGGATTCATGAGATGATGACCAATAACAAAAGCATAGTGGACAGCACTGTAGTGAGACTGAAAGCAAAAGGAATTTACAGACATATGACCCAGAGGCAGGTGCACGTTAAACCCTTCTTAGCCAGTACAGACTGCTCACACGTTTCAAAAGACTATGCAGCATGAAAAACTTTAAGCTTTCAGTAGAAGATGGTTCTTTAGGCCAGATAACTGCAGAAGAATTTTAAAAATACCTGTTAAGTATCATACATGAAAAGGGTTATGTGGAAGAGCAGGTTTTCAACACTGATGAAATAAGTTTGTTTTACTAGAACATCAGCAGACAAACTTCCATAATGCAAGTGGCTTCCAAAGCCCCTAGCTTTGAAGCATTCAAAGACCATGTAACCTTTCTCTTGTGCACCAATGCCAAGGGTGACTAAGTGCAAATCCCTAATGGTGCACAGAACCCGAAACCCCTACACACTTAAAGGGAAAAATCTCAACTATATGCCAGTTCCCTGGAGGTGAAACAAGCAAGAGCGGATGGTGTCTGAGATATTCTGGGATTGGTTCCATGGCTACTTCACTCCTGAAGTTGAACACCTTCAGGGTTTTGTCAGTTCTGGGTAATACTCCAGCTCATTGCCACAAAGAACTTGAAAATCTCCACCCCAACACAGAAATTCTTTTCATGCCCCCAAATACTACATCTCTCATCCAGCCTCTATGAAAGCTTTATGGCACATTACATGACAGCATTATATATCAGAGCTTGTGAAAGTTTTGATGCCAGCAGGGAAGCCACCGTGATTGATTACTGGAAGTCAGTCACAATATGAAACACTATTGAATGTGTTGGCACAGCCTAGGATAGCATCAAACAGACTCTGATCAATAACTGCTGGGAAAATATTTGACCAGACTGTGAAAAATTTCGAAGGGTTCAAGGGTATTACAAAGAACAGTGTCAAGAATGTAATGCATTTTGCATAGCAAGTAAGTGGAGAAGGTTTCAACAGCATGACAGAAGACAACGTGGAGAAAACAAGGCAGTAGAGCCAACCAAGGACCCAGATGAGATAGTGAAAGATGGCATCAGAGTCAGTGATGAAAGGCAGGACAGTGCTGACAGTCAGCTCAAGACTTCAAAAATTATCCCTCTCACAGCAGCCAAAATATCTGAATGGAATTCTGCCTTGGAAAAATTTTTCAGTGACATAGAACATGACCCTCTGCTTGAACAAAGCCTCATGTTTAAGCGTCTCACCTCCCCTGCATTTATCCCTTATTCTGAGATGCTTAAGAATCTGAGGCAAAAAGCCAGGCAGACAAGGTTGAGACAGTTTTTTTAGCCAGATTGATAGAGAAATCTGCAGAGTTGTACAGTGGAACTACCAGGTAACAACACGTCACGCTTAGGAACATCTTCCTCCCTGCAAAACCAGCTCCACCAGTGTAGCCTCTGGTCATCGGGCTTGAAGCCAGGGTTGCAGGAGGTTAAACCCCTGACACATCCTGCAGTCCATCCACAGCAAGATGTAGCTAGCATTTTATAAACCTTAGATGCATACTCTGCTCCATGCTTTGTGCAGGACTTTATTTGCATTCCTGTAATATACAGTGTTTGTTCACAGTACTGTTCACTGTTTATGAACATATTTTATGTGTGTGTGGACTGAAAGAGCTCAGCTAATACAGTCACGTAGAGTATATTATGTCATGCTGAAATGGAAATACTGTTTAATTATGAAGACATATTGTGTATAACTGTCTGTCACAAAAATACATTAACTTAGCTGACTCCAAACAAAATTATCCATAAAACAAAGTCATGTGTTCTGTCCAGACTCTTACAGGAGCCTGCTTATATTTTTTGTAGGAGTAATATGGCCTTGGACAGTACAATACTGAGGTAACTTTATAAGCCTTAACTACCACTGATAATGAGAATTAGGCCAGGAGAACTTAGTTGTTAGGACCTGACTTCACACAGCTGTGGTAGGCACACAAATGACAAGCTATAAATATACTATAGTGTTTGATAATTAAATATAAAAGGCATAACCTTACTTGGAAATGTACATCTTGATGAGAAAAATGGGACTTTGAAAAAATGAGCTCATTGGGGCTGGGGATTTAGCTCAGAAGCATAAGCGCCTGCCTTGCAAGCAGGCAGTTGTAAGTTTGATCCTCGGTACCGATAAAAACAAACAAAAAAAAAAGAAAAAGAAAAACTGAGCTATTTACTGTGGGTAATTATCACTTTTGCTAAAATGAGTTACGGTCCAGCCTCAGTTGGGATGTCTTTATGCACATGCCAAGAAACCTCGTTCCTAAAGATAAGCACATGGAAGGAGGAGGAGGAGTTTGCAGTGTAACTTTATTCTCTGGGGCCTTCTCAGCTAGGGCGGGGGTTGTAGTTCATCAGTGAGCCGATGCTGAACATGTGCAAGGGGCTGGTTTAAGCCCAAGTGCCTCAGAATAACTAAGAATTCTGAAGCTTTCTGTGACCACCGTCTAGTTCAAGAACAGCCTGGACACCAAAGCAAGGCCCTGTCTCAAAAATAAAAGCGGGAAGGTGACATTGTGGAAGTCCATGGTATTCTCAAGGGTGGTACCTAGGGGCAACTGCAGTGATAGTGAGAAGGAAAAAACCTGGAATGCTATGATGCAGAATCCAACAGGCAAAAGGCCCTCATGCCTCCCCAGAGAAGATCCTGGACAAGTCAGTGAGCACAGGAATAACTGTTCCATATCCTTATCAAATCAGTCACAGCCAACGCTCCATGCTGCTGGCAAGGTTGATGCCAAGAGTCCAGAGAGGTGTGAGGTACCCTCGGGAGCTGACAGTCTCTTGCATAATTTGCCCTACGGCCTAGCAATTGCTCAGCTGACATCATGGACAGCCATGAGTAAGTATGCTGGCAGCTGCTTCACTCACAATGGGCAGGGCCTGCATGCCCCCTCAGGAGGATTCAAAAGCCCATCATCGCTGCCCAGGTCACTTTGTGAACTGTTGGTCGAGATTTCCCACGATAAACTCCAGGCTTTTCCATCAAAGGCCGA